TTTTTCGGTCTCAGCCAATGATTTTGTCTCACTATCCCGTAGTCACGGTCGACTTCCGGGACAGAATTTAGCCTTCATGATGCAATATCGATGCTGGTTGATAGAGGATGTAGGGGTTCTGGGGTATTCTCACCGGTTCCGTGTGGTTTCGGTTCCGAGTCCAGCTTGGCCAGTTCCGACCCCACTCGGTTCCGAGGCATTTATTCCCCGCCGTGGGATGGTCTCCTGGTCTCAACAAACTGGCTCCTTTAGTAACGCGAAAGGCTCATTTTGTGGGTACGGATAGGGTGAGCTTCTGAGACAATCCGCCGGAACCGACATCATAGATGGCATGACCTCCACCGTCGTACCACCCGGCCAGAAGTGCCCTGTTAAAAGCCCTGACCAATCCCTGGAATCTGGTTGATCTGTACATAATACTTGGCTAAAATGGCTCCTTCAGGAATCAATCAGGTTCGTTTCATTTTTTATAATATCTCCATCAAGAGTCGACTACTGACGTCCCTGATCGGCGTCTGTACAGGCCTTCGTTTTACATCCGGGTGGCAAATTCGATTATGAAGAGCGTGTGATACCCAATCTTCAGACGGATCGCGACGTTATCGTCCAGGTTATCGTGACTGGTCTTTGTGGCTCTGATGTAAGTCTTCATTTGCATTCAACGTCCTTCTAGCCTGGACCGCAGCTTACCATCGACCTAGATCCACTATTGGCAGCATGGCCGCATAGGACGGTATGTGGTGGAAGCCCCCATCGTCCTTGGCCATGAGTCCGCCGGCATTGTAGTGGAATGCGGAAGCAAATCAGGCTTCACTGTTGGTGATCGTGTGGCCTTGGAGCCCGGCATTGCTTGCAATACCTGCCAGCATTGCCGCGCAGGCAGATACAATCTTTGTAGCGCGATGCGTTTTGCCGCTACACCACCCTATGATGGCACCCTGGCGACCTACTACCGTCTTCCTGCAGAATGCTGCTACAAGCTACCGGCACATGTGTCACTACAACACGGAGCACTGGTCGAACCGCTCAGTGTGGCGGTACACAGCTGTCGCCTGGCAGGAGATATGCAGCAAAAGTCGGTCGTTGTCTTCGGCGCTGGTCCTGTTGGCTTGCTCTGCGCAGCCGTTGCACGCGCATTCGGTGCATCAACAGTCGTGATTGTAGACATCAACTCCGACCGACTTAGCGTGGCACAAAAGTACGGAGCCACGCACACGTATAAGATGAGCGCCGATTCCCCCGAGCACAATGCCGCCGGAATCTTGGAAGAATCGGAGCTGGATGCTGGAGCTCATATCGTACTGGATGCCACTGGCGCTGAGCCTTGTATGAACTGTGGTATTTCAGCCCTTGCGCAGGGTGGGACATTTGTTCAGGTCGGCTTGGGCAAACCGAATCCCTCACTGCCGGTCGGTCAAATTTGTGATAAAGAGGCCATTTTCAGGGGTAGTTTTCGGTATGGCCCAGGAGATTACCGGACGGCTATTGGGCTGCTGTCGTCGGGTCGGGTTGTTCTAGAGGGCCTTGTTACCCATGAGTTCCCTTTCACACAGGCGGAAGAGGCATTCAAGAACGTCGGCAACCGACAGGGTATCAAGACTGTCATCTATGGACCCGGTGCAGATGAGATTGCAGCGAAAGCAACCACGGCATAAACCAAGCCAATCTCCTCTCATTGTTCTGTATTAGTAAACTGTAAGGCGCTTTGCGTGCTAAATAGATATGCTAGCTTCATGGATCCGCTCCGGCCCATGACATGTCCCATAGCCAGTACAGTCCATTATCACCAAAGGCATCTGAGGTGATATCTGGAACTTCCAAGGGAAAGCTAGGGTCATTCCAATTGTCCTCGAACGACCCATGCCACGAGTTCTCAGCTGGGGCGTGCTCGTGAGTATCAGGCAGCTGTTCTTGACTGTCTCTTGCGCCGTGTGTGTCATGGAGGTTACCATCCCTGCCAGAAGGAATAACTAATGGATAAAAATACAATCAGCTTCTCTGGACATATCATAGGGATAGAAAGATGGTATTGCGCTTACCATTTTGAACTGATGCTAGACTCTCATTCAACCGATGCATCCTGCCATAGTCTGGCCATGTCGGCCGCCGTAATGAATTATCGGTCTGAGTTATTGGGGCATCCAGGGGCAGTCGTAGGGTGTCTTCCACGGATATGGACGCAGATCCCATAGATGACGTGTGCCCTTCCTGTTGACTGTTTCCTGTGACTGGAGCCAGAATGGCCTCCGATTCACGGCGAAGAATCAGAGTAACCACATTTTTCAAGACGGTCGTACTTTGTCTTGATAAAGCTGACCGTTCACCCAAAAGGCTCTGTAGACGTAAGATCCGGGTGATTGTACGCTTCGCCACTTGGGTTGAATCTGATAATGGGTCTGATAGGGCCATGACTGCCAGTACGATTGCAGCATGGAATATATTGATGGCAAGAAAGGCGACAAGATGGCTATCTGTTGCAAGCTGAGCAAGTACCGGCACTTCTGTGACGCGCGATGTCCTGAGGGCAGCATTCCACCAATGCATTGAACTTTTGACCGGCTCATTCGGGGACATGGCTTCGAACGGTGACAGCTTCTGAGCTGGTGAGCCTGCTTCAGGGTGTGAAATGGGAGATTCCGTTCCAAGCCTTGCCCCAGAAGTGGGATGACTTATTGACAGATGCCTGACTTGCCTTGCCAGTAACGGCCGGTGGAGGACAATGAGAACATTGTCGTAGGTTAATTGCAACGACAGGGATTGTAGTGCATGCGCTCTTGCACTCGGCCCACTATCAAGTTCGAAATCTCGGTCAAAGTCCAGAGTCAAGTAGTCGGGAAGATTATTCTGCCACTTCTGAAGATTCTGGGTCGCTTCTTTCACTAGTTCAATGTAAACGTCCCCGGTCAATGCCTTAGAGGAACCTGAAGTGCGCGAGCCGAAAATGAACTCCAGAGCCGGAGATGCCATTAGATAGAGGGTGTTTAATTCTCTTTGATAAGGAGAATAGCAGATGGCGTATCCTTGCTCCGAACCGGGTGCAGTAAAATATGGGTTCTCCAGGTTATCTGCTGGCATGCTGAGGTTGCAATCCTTATCATTAATTCCCAATGGTCGACCGTACGTGATGGACGCGAATCGGTCCCAAGTGTATATTGTCCACCATACTCGCTTCCGCTCTTCAATCTCCTCAAGCTTTCCTGTAGGAGATTCTCGATGTAGCCCCGCGGCCTGGGACATCTTGATAGTTGCACCGAGCAGAGAGAACGACAAGTTTGGACGACCATGATAAACATGGTGCGACCCGAATAGAATTAGAATTTGAGCTGCTGTCACCGAGGACTCGTCCATCAACTCCACGACATGCAGTTCGACAAGGCTCATAAGATCGGCACTCAATTTCCGCCACTTACTACTATCGGCTGCATTTGTGACAGTTCTTTGTGATCGATACCATGCGCTCATGCCCAGCATTACTGCCAATAGCAGCAAGAACGACTTTTGCGAAGGATGAGCGAACCCGTCTATTATAGACTGTAGTCTTGTACGGAAGGTTGGCTCGTAGATAACGAGAGAAAACCAATGAACTGTGTCAAAATATTCCTCGAGTAAAGAATAGGTGACATCTTGGGAAGGCAAATGCCGTCCCAAAATCGATGCAATAGGACGTCGCTGGCCTCCGGCTACAGCGCGCCGGTCAGCAACACCCGTGCTAGTCCGGGATCCTGGAATGGCGGAAGTGGATTGTTCATCGATGACCTGCTTGTCCAGCTCATAGATTTTTTGGGCGATACCCATTGTAGATTCGGCTTCGCCATATTCCATCAAGAACTGCGCCTGATGCATCTCCTCAGATAGCTGTGTGTCATTTCTCTCAGTTCTGGACGTAGATGGGCAGTTGCCATCAGCATATTGTGGTTCACTATCAATCATTGCTGCTGATGCCCTAGTCTGCCGCTGGCGGCTTTGCACAGCCGCTTTCGCGCTAATGAGTGTTACTGAATGCAAGGTGCAGTGACCCCGAGATAGAAGTGGAAGTGTTCTTGTCATGCTCATGAGAATGGAGTGACTTACATGCGATTTTTATCCTTAGGCCTCTGGGGAGCAGGAAGTTGACGACAGACCACTTTAGCCCGTGCACACAAGGAGCAAGGTCGGAAAGGATCGCACTGTAGACGTCAGATAAATGGGTGTCATCTTCTATACGTTGGTAAAGGATTACTAAAGGGAAAGAAAGTATCGCTTACCCGAGTCTTATGGCGCCGGCATCTTTCACACGCATTGCTGACTCGGGTCGGCAAAGGGGAACGGACATGGCTTGTGTTGCTTGACCCAAGTTGGAGATGTTCCCGTTGTCGATTGGACATGGTCGGAGTTTGAACCTGGGAAGAGCAGCCGTGCGACGGGAACGGGGGAATTGTGGAGGAAGTACACAATCCCGCAAGAATTGGGAAGGGTGTTTCTCCGCATCAAAGCGGCGGCCCGAATCGGGGAAAACCTCAAACGGGCCACTAGAGTTTATGGGTTCGGATAGTGAGTTGATCCGAGATGCCCCCAAACCTACTTATCTTCGAGCAGTTCTGTTTACCACATACATGATAGCTCATGAGAAGAACCTGTCTCTGATATAGACGGTTTGAATTTGACGGTTATCGAAGGGCCAGTCTTGACAATGGGGATAAACTTATTCATCGCTTATGGTACTGTATATATTTACTGCTACGCTATCAGCCCTCATCCAGTTACCGAGGCAAGCCGTACTAACCAACTAGTACTCCATAGGCTACTAAATCAACCATCATGGCAAGCTGCAGTACTAGTATGGATACAAAAAGAGCTTAGCTGTTCCTGATCCCTGTAACCGGCTGACTCTCTGAGTCAGGCTTTCCATCTTTGAACTAGTACTGCTAAGTGCTACTTACTATTAAAAACTCTTATCTCATACCATCGTCCCACCGTCCCGATTCCATTCTAGTCGACTCAGCCCTGTCTCTCTGCACATCATGGACAATGAATCTCCTTCCTCGACTGCCACGGGTGAGAAGTCCACCCACGAGCCCCCAATCATTTCTTTCGGTAACAGCGGTGACGGCCCGCTTCGGGTGCCCGGGTTTGGTGCCATCCCTCTGGATTACGAGCTACCATCCGACGCGCGCTTTGCTCATGGAATCAAAGAGTGGCGCCAGGCGCCAGCTGTCACGGCACGTGAGCTGGCAATGACTGCAGTAATGAATCGTCTGACCGACCGTCCAAACTGGCATGTCGATGTCTTCGATGATGTGGCCGTGGCGCACTGGCGGCAAGACAGCACTGCCTCCATCGCTATGAATCCCCTCTTGAGTGACCGGGCCTGGGAGTGGTGCGTGCAGGAACTACGCGACAAAGCCACCGAGTTCCAGCAAAAGGGGCATATCCGGGTGTTGGACACTGGATCCTGTGTCTGCAAGTCTGATCATATTCCCGCACTTCAAACGGGGGAGCTAGCCGGCGAGTTCCGACGTGCAGTAAAACCGGTGCTTCGATCCCTCATGGAATCCGGGCTGTTGGATTGGCGGTCAAGGAATAGATTAAGTATCGTCGACCCGACCTTGTTTCCGCTGGTTTATGGGCATAGCTTGGTCTTGACTGATGGTGGTCGGGTGGAAGTAGCGAATATGCTTGGCGCGTATCAGGGTGCGACATCCCTTGCGCCTACTCATGTCGACAAGAGGACGGATTCGGCGGACCTTCAGAGGCAAATTGATAACTGGCCAGAGGCGTGGTGGTCACTGAGTGTCGACCATGAAACAGTTCCTCATTATCGATGGAGCGCGAATTATCAGGTTCTGCCATCCGAAGTGGAGTTTATAGGGGATGCAGGATCGACGCAAGTGCGCCTCGCCTCATACATCAATAATCTACACCCTATGCACCGGGGCCTGTACCGTGCAATCGAAACATTAATAGGCCGGGCAATACCGTTATGGAACGACTGCTTGGTCCAGGGACAGCGCGGCTGGACGGATATCATGAACCAAGGCCAGCTGGGACCTGTGCCGCTACGGATAATCACGTATGGGCCAGAGTGGGAGAATGAACTTCCCGAATGCTTGCTCGCCTTCCGGATCCCAAGTGAAACAAGGAGGCTGAGGTACCGCAGATACCGAGAACAGCTCTTGAACAGTGCGGAAGATAACACAGCCGAGGGTCGCAAAAGGTACAAATTTGCAAAAATACAACTGATACACTTGTCAGACGTTCCAAGGGATGAAAAAAAGGAGTTACCATCCCCAGATTCACACCTCTGGCAACGCGCAAAGGAGTATCTCGAACTCCCTGAAGATGGATCAGCCACCCCGGTTCCTGCCCCGGATGATTGGCAGCAGAAGACTTGGAGTGCAATTGAACGCAAGGCCGAGCGAGTGGTTCGTTTTCGTCACCCGGAGCCAGGGACGGCATTTTCTTACGAAGAGTGGAAGACGGGGCGTCACCATGAAAGAGCTGTGGTTGATTTAGTGCGCAAGCGGAAAGAGTGGCGCTGTATACCTTACAATCCATTCACGCCTCCCCACAAGCCGTATACCATTCGGCTCGAGGATATGTTCCGCTCGCAAGGATTGCAGGTAATTGTGAATATGGAAAACATTGAGCTTACCCCTGAAAGTCCGGACTACAAAGGGACCGACTGGCACATGGAAGGCCAGCTTAACGAACATCTTGTAGCTATCGCCGTCTTTGCATATGATATCGACAATATAACGGAACCCAAAATTGCCTTCCGACAGAATAGTAAGCTGGATGAAACCTTCTACCATTATAGAGCGAAGAACAAACATGGAAAAAGGTGGGATCGACTATCGCTGCCGGCCCACAGATATGGGAAAGATTGTTGGTCCGATTTGAAAGAAATAGCGGAGATACTGGGAATTCCCGCCTGGGACCTCCATACTGAAAATTGGGATTCCAGAACATGGCAGGACACGGGTGTGGTCTCGGTCGCGCAAGGGCGTTTAATCACATTTCCAAACATACTAGAGCACCGTGCCGAGCCCGTCTCTCTAGCTGACCGGTGTCGCCCGGGGCATTATCGTTACATCAAGTTATATCTAGTTGACCCCCATTATCGCGTCTGCTCTACCCGCAATGTGCCGCCCCAGCAACATCACTGGTGGGCACAAGCCGTGGGTGAGGATCTGAGTGCTGCTGGACTACCCCTTGAGATGATTGATCAGATCATGAAAGAGACTGGCAGCTGGCCTATGGGATCGCCGGAAGCTCGGCGGCACCGCCGCGCCTTTTTGAATGAGCATCGCTGGAACAACATGGTCAGGATGAGAGAAATGGAATTTCCATACTTCGATTGTTGGCCATACACAGTAACGGAGAGGCTTCAATGAAGGTCTGTCTGGCATCAGAGGGAGATATTTACTTAGGAGTGAGGAACCACTTAGTTGGTAGAAATAATCTTTGTATATAAGGAGTGAAATCAAGCTTTCCAAGAAATTTCCAAGAAAGTCTCACAAGAAACTCTGAAGCTAAGTCTCTTAACCTTCGAACTTAATCTTAGGCACATGATGTAAATGCGATGGATGAGTCAGAGAGAGTGTGTGCAGCTAATGGTGCAGGTTTCTGGGATAAACCCTCTTAATCTTGCTTTGAGCACAAGGAAGTGACTGGCTAGCCGAACTCGTCCCCTGATGGTAAGTAGGTGTATTGATGGTATCGGGGTGGGTCTCCATTAAATTCGCCCAAGCTGCTTCTATTCGGTCGAAAACCCATCTTCGCTCTGCCGCAGCGAGAACGATACCATTATCGCGATTGCCACCGGCTAAACTCCGATGCACGTAGTCAGTGCATGATATGCAAGCTGCGACTGATCTTGACCTGTAGTGACCATGTCAATGACTTAATTACACCGAATAATATACACCAGAGATAGGACAAGAAAATGTAAAGTGCTGTCTACGAATAGCCGAACCGCAGTTTCCCGGACTATGGAGATATAAAATACTATGTCAGCTGGTTTCCCTCGTTGGGTTTCAACACTTGTTCTTCAAGTCGATCAACCCCGCACTTTGTTTCCTGTACAGGGACAAATCAAGAAAGAGGAAGTCACGTTGTCGTATGTAATGCTGGCGGAATAGCGGCGATCTTCCGAGGCCTCGGAGAAATATCCTGGTTGACGTGACGAGTTTCGATATCCGGGGTCTGGGGTATAATGTTGATCTGGGGAAACAGGGAAATGCGGGGTGCAGGTTCATCAGTCCATATGTTGAGCTGCGAGAACCTTTCCTTTTCCTGGAGAGCTGAAGCAGCCTCTACTCTTGATGCAGTTTAATATCCAAAGGCGCAGTCTACTACCCGTTGGCGACCATGAACAAACCACAGGGCCAAGTGCTCTGTATATTGATGACCATAACATGCGGCATCTCATACCTTCTGTATGGTTATGACCAGGGGTTCATGTCAGGCGTGCTGTATGCTGTCATCACCTACCTCGTGTTATGGTTCTGACTGACGTGCAGACTCGCCGAGGATTATCTTCAAACAATGGACCAGCCATCAACATTCATGCAAGGACTACTGTCTAGTCTTTACACGCTGGGGTGCTTTTTCGGTTGTGTCGGCAGTATATCGTTCAGCGAGAAGATTGGTCGTAAAAAGCCTATCTTAATCGGCACAGTCCTGATCTCGATTGGCGCAGTCATTCAAACAGCGGCATACTCACCAGCTCAATTTATTGTCGGGCGGATCGTGTCTGGAATGGGAACCGGACTGAACACGTCTGTGATCCCAGTGTGGCAGGCAGAGACCCTTCCAGCTAAAAAGCGAGAACGATTCGGAGCCATCCAGTATGTGTTGGTTTGCACAGGCACCACCATCAGCTACTGGATGGCGTATGCTCTGTCCTATTCCGCAAATAGTGTTTTTCAATGGCGCTTCCTGGTCGCAGCGCAGCTTGTGTTTGCGGTGCTGATAATGTGCCTTGGTAAGTACCTCATGTATTTTTCACTAATCATGCCTGGTACACAGCTTATAGTGTGTAGTTCCATTGATGCCGGAGTCCCCCAGATGGCACTTCGTCCACGGCTACCGAGAAAAAGCCTTGTGTACACTGATGAGAATGCATGGGACAGCGGATGAACAGCACAGCGAAGTCCAAGCAGAGGTCCATTTGATCCAGCAAGCTGTGGAGCTGGAAGCCAGACATGGAGCGACCAAATGGGTTGATCTATTTAAGAATGAGCCACGCACACAAAATCTCCGACGTCTCATGCTAGGGTGGTGGTAAGTCTCGCTTATCAGTCACCGCGGGATGTTTCGGCTAATTAGATGCATCATATGCAGGCTGATGTTCATGGTGATGTGGTCCGGCGTCTGCAGCATCGGCTATTACATTTCATACCTCTTCGAAGTCTCCGTCGGCCTCAGCCACAACTTGTCCCTGCTCCTTTCCGGTTTCAACGGTCTCTGGTATCTGTTATCAGCATTCATCCCATTTTTTGTGATCAATCATCTCGGCAAGCGGCGGTGTATGATGATTAGCGCTGCTGGCATGGGCTGCTGTTTCCTGACAATGTCACTAACGATCCGGTCGGGCACGTTTGCAGCCTCGATTGTCTGTATTGTTGCCTTCTTCCTGTACTACACCTTCTTCGCACTGGGATACCTGGCGATACCCTGGTTGTACAATGCCGAGATCATGCCCCTTCATCTGCGATCCCAAGGGACAGCTCTGACGACCTCCTCAAATTGGATTTGGAACTTTGCCACTGTCATGATGACTCCCTCGCTGATGAGCCAGCAAGGCTGGAAGGGGTACCTGGTATTTACGGTGTTTAATTTCTGCTTTGTGCCGGTGATTTACCTGCTATATCCGGAGACTACCGGCCGACGGCTCGAGGAGATCGACGCGATATTCTACGGGACTTCGGTCTTGGTGGCCCGAACGGAGTGGGCCGACAAAGGCCGATTTGAAGCCAACCCGCTGGGAGGAGTCATCCAGGGGCTAGAACTTTCGCAGAAGGAAACACAGCACCACGTGGAGTACGTCAGCTCGAACTCGGAGAATTGCTAGCAGATGGAACAATGTCTTTGAGTCACACCATGTTGGTTTGGGCATCTCTCAACTGTTATGGAGGGTTGTGCATTTTATCTGCTCATCGGCCAGGAGCAGAAACGGATTACCCAGATGCAGCGTCATTATGCAGATGTATACTCCGTACTGCGTAATGTCCTGTTAACTCCGTGACTTAAAATCCGAAATATAGGCCCCATAACTTGATTGATTGCTAATTCAGGGTAAAACCAGATCCACCGGATTGGTTGTCAGCGTTTTGTCTGGTGAACGATCGTTAGACCCACAGTCGGCGAAACGGGATTTCCAACGCCGACTGCTGGAAATAGATGATCACTAAGACTCATAAGCCTTTCAGACTTTGAGCCCCTCGGGGCAACCAAAAGAAACCAGCCAGTAGGGAGACATTTTGAGGTGTGCCTGATCATGGCATTCGCTGGATCCGTGTCGGTTCGCCCAAAGCCGAATGCCGATGGGGTCCCCGGCGGCTAAGCTTGCGCCCGCAATTCGAACATAAATTTTCTTATGCTCCATCGTCCACTGCGGGAGCCAATAATCTGGTATCACTGCCTGTTGCTTCTCGTCTCGGAGGCGACCACTTCCGGTTGTATCAAAATCTGTCACCGATTTCGCCGTGCAGGTGGACCTCGTAGGGATTCGACAGGCTCCACTCACCACGTTGGAGAACAAGATATCAAGGGGCGTGGTCGCTGCTGTGCGTAGTTGAAAGGTTTTTGGAAGCATGTACTATTAATCTTCACTACAACTATATATGCCCGTTGTTGTGGCTTATAATTACCTTTTTACATCTTCTTTATATTGCTATAGTTATTCTTTTTCGCTGAAAGGCGTGTAATCTTTTAATCATGGATCCATCCCACCGGGATGATGCAGATGAGAATGATCTCAGTCTGCAACTAACCAAGACCCAGACTGCTTCCAGTGTGGTCACCAACGAGCAACGTCGTGCTCTCACCAACATCGCTTCCGAGTTACATACCGAGTCGCTGGCCGCTGTCATCACCAACGAGAAGGCTCTAGATCCAAGCCACCCCCAATTCGACCCGTATCAATGGGCCAAGGTCACTATCCGGGCCTTGGATGCCGAAGATATCGATGCTCGTCAACAAGGTATCCTCTTTGAGGATCTGTCGGTTCATGGATCTGGTTCTTCGCTTCACCTGCAGCAGACGGTGCTGTCCACCCTCATGAGCCCCTTCAAACTGGCTAGTTCGGCATTCCGCAGCAAGAAAAGCACACGTCGCACGATTCTACACAGCCATGATGGTCTTTTGGAGAGTGGAGAACTGTTGCTTGTCTTGGGTAGACCTGGGAGTGGTTGCTCTACGTTTCTCAAAACTATCAGTGGACACCTCCATGGATTGGATCTGGACCCTCAGAGCAATGTGCAGTACAAAGGTATCGGATTCAACCAGATGATCAAGGAATACCGCGGTGAAGTTCTGTACAACCAGGAAGTCGACAAGCACTTCCCTCATCTGACCGTTGGCGAGACCCTCGAGTTCGCTGCTCATGCACGAGCACCTCACAACCGGATCGGTGGTATGAGTCGAGCAGAGTACGTCAAGACGAGGGTTCAGGTGATCATGGCATTCTTCGGCCTCTCGCATACATACAACACGAAAGTGGGTAATGATTTTATCCGTGGTGTTAGTGGTGGTGAACGGAAGCGTGTGAGGTAAGTTGGTCCAAAGGTACCACGATGTTGTAGCTTACTAAACCTATATAGTATTGCTGAGATGGCTCTATCGAATGCTCCCATCGGTGCCTGGGATAACAGCACTCGCGGTCTTGACGCTGCCATGGCCCTCGAATTTGTCCAAGCCCTTCGCCTTTCTTCCGATCTCGTCGGCTCCTGCCATGCTGTTGCTGCGTACCAGACCTCCGAGTCTATGTACCAGCTGTTCGACCAAGTGGTGGTGCTGTATGAAGGTAGACAGATTTACTACGGCCCGCAGCAAGAGGCAGCTCAATACTTCGAAGAAATGGGCTGGGAGCGACCACTGAAACAGATTACCCCTGACTTCTTGACGTCCATCACCAACCCCCGTGAGAGAATTGCTCGCAAAGACATGGCAGACAGAGTTCCCCGGACACCAGCCGAATTTGAAGCTTACTGGAAGAAGAGCCCACAATACCAAGCTCTCAAAGCCAAGATGCACAGCTATAAGGCGAGATATGCGCCCGGAGTCGAGCTCGAGAAGCGATTTGGCGAAAGCAAGCAGGCGCAGCAAGCGAAACACGTTCGTCCGAAGAGTCCTTATCTCCTCTCGATTCCCATGCAGATCCGGATCTGCC